GAAGATGCTGCCCGCATTCCTCAGACCGAAGGGCAGTCGGCAAAACTCATACTTCCCTCCATTTACGGAAAAGGAAGTTTTTTCCCTATCGCGCTCCGCCAAAGTTATTTGGTGGTATCCGGATTTCAGGTCAAGAGTTGTAAAGTATTTTGCAGTACCCAGATTTGCCAAGATCATTGAGATGCTCGGCATTGGGTATTTGTCGGCCACTGTTTTCTGATTGAGCTTCCGAAAGTCCATTACGAGACGTTTCTTCCTATTGCCATTTTCATCAGTGCCTTTTTTATCTACCACCCATATAGGGTTGTTATAGGGTGATCTTGATTTTTGTATGATGTTGTCTTTCAGGAGGCTCTTAACCTCGGAATCGACAAAATCAGCTACACCCATCGGGTAGGGGTATAGCTTGGAATAAATTGATTCGTCATCCACCGTGCGAATGGTGGCCACGACCGAAGTATTATAGGGCAGTGACCCGTTAGGGTCAGCAAAAGCCTTACTTCTTTTCTTCAGCTTGGTTGCCTACGGCGCGGGGGTTGACGGTTGGTGTACACTCAGTTGGTTACCAAACCAGGCCTTTAAGGAGGACCGCGCGGGCGAGCCCCCCGTAGGTTTAGGGGATGGGGCGCCACAACAGGCATTTCCGTTAGGTCACCGTTAATTGAGTGGACGGGGAACGGTGATTCGACGGGTGTGACGCCGGGAAGCCACCCAAATGGCTTGATGAAATTCTTCGACGCTCCCGTGTCGATGAGAAGCTTTATCTTAATCCCCGCTACTCTTCGCCATATGAATGGCAGCAGGGACCTTCCCCTAAAAAATTGATCGAATCGGATTCGTACTCAATTTCGGCGTCGGCTTCTATTTCCGCGACTGCCTCAGTGGCAGCGTCGTCGTAGGACGCCCCGGACCGGTTGTTCGTAGTAGCAATGTGCTCCACTCTCTGCCGCCAGTTCCCCGACGTGCGTTCCGACGCGTTCTGTTTTTTTCCAAAACTATTGTCGCGCTTGCCCGCCCCAAATGGCTTTTGGTGAGCCGTTGGCTGTCTAAATTTAGAGGACGAAGGGTCCACCTCCATAGGCTCAGGTGCTGCTTGGCCCTGAGCTCTGGTTTGTTGGTTGGGGCCACTTTGCTGGGCGTTGGATGTGCCCGGACTCTTGAAATAATGAGGGCTCTTGTAAGAAGAGGGGTCCTGGGCCCTATATTGCTTGGCATTGCCTAGCTGTGGCGCCTGGGGTTTGCGCTCACTAAATCTATTGGCTTTCTCCTCCATGGCCCTGGCGTAATTTGCTGCTAGAACGCAGCGGTCCTCGCTGCATTCAGCTGCTTGGGCTAGGGCCAGCGCGGTCGGCAGGTCTTCAGGCCTTGCTGAGAAAACTGGAGTTTTTAAGGCTTTTCTCAAGCCTGAAATGAATATTTCTAAGGCATCCTCCCTGGCTCTGTCATTTAAGATGCCCGCTGCGTCCGCCGTATGGTTCATGATGTTTTTATTAGTCATGAGAGAGAGGTGCCTCTCGATGTCATCATAGTAATCGGTGAGGGACATATTTCCCTGCCGCATGGTTGCTAGCTTCTGATGTATCACGCTCACTGGCGTTTTGTCAGAATACGAACTATCTAACCTATTGATAATGGCTCTAAAGTTCAACACCGTGCCAAAAGATGCCAAAATATTCTTCGCGGCTCCTTTCACCTTATTCCTGATTATGCCAGTAGCCATATAGTGTCTTGTGCTACCCTCATAGGGCTCGAAAACTTCGTAGGCCGCCAGCGCTGCCTGGCGCCAGGCAACATAATGTTCCTGTTTCCCATCAAATTCTGGGACCGACTTCACCATGTCCAGTGGCTGATCACACTGGACCCCAGGCCTGATTTCTATTTTCCTGTATACTTCTACCTTTGGTACGGCGACAGGCGCGGCCGCTTGTAACTGACTAATTGTGGTCTGCATTTGTAGTAATTTAGCCTCAAATGTCGTGGCCTGGCTTGTCAGTGCGGCCTCGACGGCTGCGAGAATGGCAGGATCCATGACGTTGGGCGGTCTTTGAGTCGTACGTTTGTCAATGTCTGCCGCTTGGAGGCCTTCGATCAAGGATTTCAGACTATCGTCACTATCGTCGGCACTTTCCCTATCACTCATATGGTGCAAACTGCTGCGTGTAGCACTGTCCTAAGTACTTAGAACACTGCGCTCCCTAGCATAAATCTCAAGGGGAAGAATTTGACTGGTTTTTACAACCGTATTAAATAATCAAATGTTTCACTTCTTATTTTATCTTTATTTTCTTTTCCATTTGTTTTTTTTTTTTTGAGCTTGTCTAGTAAAATTTACGCAATTATCGGTGAACTCTTATTTTAAACAGAGATTTAGGTTGGCTGACATAGGAAACATTTAAAATTCAAGCAATTCACTTACATCATTGTTACAGCCTATATTTACTCTGGCGATTAGATTGGTTAAGCTTAACTATGCACCGGTTGAGCGTTTTGGATCCGTAACGTTGGGCGAGGGAATTCCCTACAGCCGTGTAGATTTTGTTATTATATTTTCTCTTTCCAGGCGAGGGAGGGCCCTTCAGCCTATTTTTTCCTTGTAGATCTTTTGATGGGAGCGAGGGATTACCCTTCAGCTCTTTTGACTTCGTTTTCGGCTGCAATCTATCTTCAATTGGAGCGAGGGGTTGCCCTCCGGCTCGTTTGTGTTTTGTTTTCGGCAGCACTTATCTTCGATTGGAGCGAGGGGATGCCCTTCAGCTCTTTCCTTGTTTTAGTTTTTGATTTTCATTCGGGTGTTGCACTATGGAACGTTCTCACTCGTTTGTGTTGTAATTATTTAGTTAATTTTCCCTTTAGTGTATGGAGGAATTTTTTCGGGAAATTTGTTTTTACACTTTTCTGTTTTATTTTCTTTTTAGTATTTCGGAGGAATTTTTCACGGGGATTTTTCTCCTATTTTTCTCACTCGTTTGTGTTGTAATTATTTAGTTAATTTTCCATTTAGTGTGTGGAGGATTTTTTTCGGGAAATTTGTTTTTACACTTTTCTGTTTTATTTTCTTTTTAGTATTTCGGAGGAATTTTTCACGGGGATTTTTCCCCTATTTTTATGACTTTTTCTTGCTTTTAAACTTTTGGTTTATTTATCGCGGTGTTTTGACACTCGCGTTAACTCGGGGTTCGACTTAGTTTGACCCGTTGGGCGCCAATTAATTATTCAATATTCCCGTTACTTAAGCCGCGGCATTAGCCGTCGGCAGAGAAAGATCGGATATGTTTTATGTAATTTTATTCCGGCCAACTGGCACGGTTCAAAGTGAGTAAAAGACTAAAAATACAAAATGATATAATTATGCATAAGTCCCCCCAGCCTGGGCAGCGCTGCGCGAGCAGCGGTCTCCAGTTTCGCTGCCTCAGCGCCTCGTGCGGACCCAGTTGCAACATAGTAATATGTTGCCGCCCCTTTCCATGCCAGCGCTGGGTCAGCATTCTTATAACTAAGACCCCTGCCGATACCCTATGGCTGGTGGGGAGTGTTAACTTGTAAGTGTATTTTTTTTTAAGTGTACATTTTTTTTTTTTGTCTATTTTTATATCTGTACTCAAAAAGAGTTAGGGGGTATATTTGTGGGAAATGTGTGTAACGCAGAGAAGGAAACGTTTCTGACTCCATAAAGTATATATATTCTTGATCAGCATCAATAACCGACTCGATAGAGCCATTTCTGTCTGTCCGTCCGTCCGTCTTGTTTGTCGCCTGGATCTCAGAGACCATAAGAGCTAGGGCAATCAAATTTGGTTTCCAGACTCAGGTACACACTGCTACAAGTGTTTTCAAAATTTCGCCCAGCCCCCTTCCGCATCCACAAAGAACGAATCTGTGGCAGGCACAATTTTAAAGATACGATAAAACTAAAATCGGAGTATCGTAGAGAAAGCCCATATCTACCAATGTATCTAATATACATCGTAGATGTAGATAACAGATGTAGCAAAAATATGTTTTTTTTAATTCTAAAATTCTAAAAAATTATAAGCTAAAAATGTATATACTGACTAGGTACGGGTATAAGTAGAGTCGCGTCTCTAGAAGCGACTCACACGTTGCTTCTCGTTTGATTAGTAAATTCGCAAGGGTCAGAATAAGCTCGACATGTCGTTTTACTTCGTTTTTATATAGCGCTTCGTATATTTTTTGAACCTTAAGACTTTCTTTGATACTTGTATTAGGAGTGTCTTTTTTTCCGCTTCCGACCGTATTGTTACTTTGAGTGTTTGGGCTGCCTTGGCAGTTAAACTTTTAAAATCTAATATTTCTATGCGGGATAGCGCATCAGCTACATAGTTTTCTTTCCCTGCTATGTACTCCACCACAAAATTATATTCTTCTAAATCCAATCGCATTCGTATCAATTAAGACGAGGGGTTTTTCATTGAAAATAAGTATGTGAATGGACGATGATCGGTTTTTACCAAAAATTTAGTGCCGTATAGGTATGGTCTAAAATATGTGATTGCCCAGTGAATGGCTGATAATTCGTTTTCTATTGTTGATTTATTGGATTCATCTTTTGTGAATTCCTTAGATGCATATCTAACCGGTAGTTGCTTATCATCGTACTCTTGGCTTAGTGCGAACCAGTTAGCATCTTTGGTTAAGCAAAATGATTTTTTGAAATCTGGGTATTGTAAGATTTGGGGGCTTATAAGAGCCACCGAATACTCGGCGGCGCCTTCTACTAAGGCCTGGACAGCCTGGCACACATGCCTCTAGAGAAACTGGTGCTCTTTATAGAGGCCTCGGGATGGTTCGCGAAACCTCCCTAGGCACCGGACAATATCCCGTGACGAGTGCGGGCATCACAATAGGCAGACTTGACTCCGAGTGACCTCGACTTCGGTCGAGCAGCCCTATAAACCTTACTTAACTTTACAAATCAACAAAGTCAGCTGTTTTTGTTTGCCAGAAACGTTGAGAAAATTAAAAACATCGATAACAAAATGTGTGAATTCCAGACTGCCATGAAAGGAAAAATATGACTTTTGGCTGAAAAGTAAAACGCAAAGCTGCAAGGTTCAATGTTTTCTAAGCGAACGAAACGAAATGCGAAATAATGCAACCCAAGCTGCGAAACAAGCGGTAAACTATGGCGTTGGCGCCTTCTAATACTCTTCCCGATTTACCCAGCTACACACGAATAGTCAAACTGTTCAATGCCAAGCCATGGCTTTGGCATTGTTACGTGCTTGTTGGATGAATCCACTTCCCTGGGCGTTGTCAACTAAATGTCCATGTTCTGCTTCGGTGTCGGTATGGTGGTCTTAAAAGCGTGGATTGATATTGGTAATCTTCCTTCTGGGTCGTCGAATTGTTGGTTTTTTCGCGAACAGCGTTCTGGTCCAAAACAACGATTGGTTTTTTTTTCCCTGCTCGGGCGCCATGTAGAATTTCCGAAACAATAATGCAAGTTATTGCGGAGGCCTTTACTTAGGCTTGAGACGCGGGGACTAGCGGGACGGACCAGAGCTGAGGCGGCGATAGAAGTCGATTAAAGAAATGAACCATGCGAAACAAAGTCAATATTACTAGCGCTTTATTCCCACGCATAGCTTTGTCGGCTATGCTGCGGGCGTGTAGTTACTTGTTGCTTGGCTTCTGATACAGTGACGGGAATTAATAACGTAACTATCACTTACTAACTACATTTCATTGTATATAAACTTTATTATTTTCTGCTTATTAACTATTAGCTATTATTAATTATTGGCTACCATATTGTGTAGCGCCAAGCACATTAACATGCTTCTCTGGCAGCCATGTTGTTATTTTGTTGATCCAAAGACGTCACTTTAGTATAGCCATTCCGGAACCCATGCCTGACTCGACGAGGGAATCTAATACTCGAGCGAGGGGCCACATCTGATTGGTTAACTGGAAATAAAACAGAAGAAAGTAGATCTGCTGTGCGAGACTGAGACATCTCTCCTGCAACTATCCATCCTAGCCTGGTTTCCTGAAGACGTGGCAGACCAGCTGCCAATTGGATTTGGCCAATGCAGAGAAGCTCGAAGAACAATCCCGCTCCAATAAGAATGTCCACAGGCTGGGACTTGTAGAACTTTGGTCCGTTAACTGTGTGTTGAATGGAACGTTCCAGCGGTTTATGTCGACATTGCAGCTAGGTTGACTGGCCGTAATGCTGGGAGCAACTAATGCCGAAATGGTCGTGGCATAACTTGACGTGTGTGATTCCAGGTTGATATCTACGCAGCATCCTTCAGATATGGCACGCGAATTGCCGAGACCAGACACCAAAACATCCGACTCTTTCCTTTGTAGCTGCAACTGCTGAGCAAGGCGATAAGTAATGAGATGCACCTGTGATCCAGAATCAAGCAAGTCACGGCATGGAATGAGTGTACCAGAACGATTCCTCACACCGATGTCCTGCCTGTGACTCTAGGCCAAAAGCGATGTGGCTGACACTGTTGCAATATGTACAACGTCAGAGGGTCCCGCGGGCAATTGCGGAGCCGATGTAGAATGTGACAGTGAAGGCAGAATGGATTAAGAGCCGTAAGACGGAGACAGGAAATGAAGTTGAGTGTGATGTCCCACCACATATTCGGCAGGATCGAGAATGACATGAACCCTGCGTGTGGCTTGCTCGGAGACAGCTGGTGCACAGTGACAGCTTCTTAGTTTCCTGAAGCCGAAGTTGAGCAGACAGATTCCCCAATTGCGAACACGCAAAAATGGAATGTCCTGGATCACCGAAGAATGTACAGACCTTGGAGCTGGCTGCGATTAGACAGTTTTTCCGCTTGCTCTGGGTGTACAAATCTTTCGCTTGCTCTTGGGTTTCCAACCTCTGGCATCTGTGCTCCAGAAACGTGGCGAATTGCTGGCTGGAGGAGGGTATGCTATCCAACTACGAGCATTCCACTCTCCACCTTCTGCAGCAGGCTGTGTATTATTAAGTTGCAGTCAGCAAACTGCTCCTTTGCTCCCATACTTTGTAAAGCTCGCAGATTGGCACTTACTGTATCCGAAAGAGACCGTAGTTGGGATACAGATGAGGCCTCGACACGCTGCAAGCACAGAATGTCTGTAACATGTGCCTGAAATATGAGACGCTTGTTATTTAATCGTTCGCTGAGAGCAATGGGATAACTAGCGTGTCTAAATTCTAGCGACGAGATCGTGTCCAAGGCTGGTCCCTTTAGGCATGATCGTAGTTGCTGCTACTTCTCGATATTCGTAAGGTCAGGGTCGTTATCTATAACGGAGGAGAACATGACCCAAAACGCGCCATACTGTGCGTAGCCCCCACTGAAGTCAGGAAGCTTCAGCTCTGGCAGGCGAGGCTGACTCTGAACTACGACCGTAGTAGTGGCTTCTCCGACTTGGTTTGTCCGCATCATTGAGCAAGGGAGCATTGTGGACTGCCGCTTGTTGATATCTAGCCTCATAACTTCGAAATCGACCACGCACTCGTCCAACTTGTTTTGGGCTGCACTTCCGATCTCATCTATTCTTTCTAAGGCGTTGTGATATTCGTTGAACGAAGCTATCAAGTCCGTCAGAGACTTTTATTTATTTATTTCAATTAATTAACAATTATCTGCTAACTGTGAACTATAATAGAAATATACATACTTAAAAAAAATATAATAGAGGAAGAAAAGAAAGGTATTACAAATTTGCTAGGTTAAGGTGATGGTAAACGTTACGTACAACCGTATCAAGGGATATTTCGGGGATATTGTATTGTAATAGGAATTGTAATTATTGCAAAGAACACGGAAAGGTTCGTGCTGGACGAAGTTGGATCTGCAAAAGGTTAAACGGATAGGCCGGAAAGTTCGGGTTGGTCATAAAGGAACTGTAAAATCTATCTGTCCCAACAGAGTTTGGGAGTCCACAAGCCCGAGAATGAGCTTGTGAATTAATAAGACCCCATTGCAAATTCTGCGATGGTGTAAGGAGGGTAGGTCGAGTAGTTTTAGCCTAGATCGGTATGGAGGTAACCGTCTGCAAGAGTCCCAGTTCAGATTCCGAAGGGCAAAAATGAAAAATAGCTTTTGAGCGGATTCAATTTGAGTTTGTTGCTCTTTGTATTGAGAGCTACATACACAAGAACAGTACTCCAATATCGGGCGTACCAATGAGACGTACATTGATTTTGTTATATACGGGTCGTCAAACTGTTTTGACCAACGCTAAAACTCCCTTAGCTTTGTTCACCGTTAAAGATATGGCTGTTAAAGAATAGCTTTTGATCAAACAGGAATCCTAGAGAGTAGGAGACCAAATGTGGAGCACGGCTGTGAAACGTCATAAGTTTGCACTTAGAATGGTTCAAAAACATTAGGTTAGACGAACACCACTTGTTAAATTCATCAAGGTCAAGTTGAAGGCGAGTGTGCTAGTACCAATCGGAATACGAAAAACAAATTTTAATGTCATCAGCATTGTTTAGAGGACGATACCAAATGTATCACCTTGATTTACAATGAAACGTCACGAACAGATTAATATACATATATGTTAATTTATTGGTAATATGCCTGGTCGATTAGGCGACGGTGTCAGGTGCGAGTGCTACGTCAAGATTCACCTTAGGGCAGACGGACCGAATTGCCCGTGCCCTAATGGAAGCGAGAGAAAGATAGATGAATTGAGTGATAGCGAAGGCGAAAAAAAAAAGAAAGCTAGATGCATATATAGACCGCGATTCGTGTTTATATATGCGACGAAAGAAAAGTGCGAGATATTTGCAAAGGCATGCAAGTGCTGGACCAGATCATGACCATTGCGAAAATGCTACGAAATAGAGAGCGAGGGAGTGTTCGAGAGAACGAGAGAGCTAAAATGATCGATAGAACGAAAGAGCGACAGAGCGAGAATGATAGAAAAGTAAAGGGGAAAGGCGCGAGACGAAGAGACGAAATATCGGTTGAAACGGCTATTACAGTGAGGGGGCGGGTGTAGATGCATGTCGATTACAATTAGGTACAGTGGGCAGTGCAAAGAACGAACAAACAACAGGACGATGTGTGAGGTACGAGTGCTACGTCAAGACTCAACTAGCGCAACGCCAGTAAGTACACGTGTAAAATACTCATTAAATCACTTGTTTCAGGTGCTTTGCGACAATAGACATACAATTTCACGTTGGCTCGACCTACCGGATAATTAAGCAGCACTTGGGACGAACTGATCTGAATTGATCTGGTTTCTCATGCTATCTGCACTGCACTGCACGGAGAGTTTCCAAAATGGAAATCTAATAACATGCTCAAGTGGGCAAAAGATTTTATGGAACAATGGAACTTTCCAAACTGCATTGGTGCTATCGAAGGAAAGCACGTTGCGATCAAGGCACCACCCAAAAGCTGTAGCGCTTTTTACAATTATAAAGTAAGTCAATTACCTGAGGCAACGTACATATATAGATAACCCTTTACTTGCTTTTCTAGGGCTTTCACTCAATTGCGCTCATGGCGGTTTGTGACGCTTCATATAGGTTCACGTACATGGACGTTGGTGTTTGCGGGAGTGAAGGTGATATGAATGCCTTTTCACATTGTTCGCTTGGAAAAGCCATTTGATCGGGCAATATCTCATTTCCGGAGGATAGCATGCTGCAGGGAGTATCTACTCCATACTATATTGTTGCGGATGATGCATTCCCGTTCCATAAGCGCATAATGAAACCATATGGGTCTAGAAACCAGTTCACATAAGAAAGGATTTTCAACTACCGGCTAAGTCGAGCTCGTCGTTGCATTGAGAATGCATTCGGGATTCTTAGCAATAGGTGGATGGCTGTTCAAGAAACTTTTCGGTGTGGCCCAAACAGAGCGCAAAATATAACTTCGGCATGCTGTTTTTTGCACAATTATATGATGCGAGTATGCCCAAGAAATTATGGCGCCATGGTTGAAGGCCTTTTAATTGAAAGCCCAGCAGACACAGATGCTTTTCGTGGTCGGGTTCAGGACCTACCCCAAATTTATTAGAAATAATATAAAGGATTTTGTCAACTCTGCAGACGGATCAGTACTTTGGCATAATGAATCTGCTGGTGTGCGCCAATAATAAAGAAGTCTATTATTAATTTCTATAAATATATATTTGATTTTTATTAAAGGCATGGGAATGAAATGGCATGGCGAAGAATTGAAGGGTTGCGTTTTATTGGGACTGCTTGCCCTGCTGCTGCTGCACCTTCCAAAATAGCAGATTTGTGATCTCCACTTCAGATGCTGTTGCTTCATCTGGTGGGAGCTTGCTCAACAACTCATCCCAAAATAATAATAATAATAATAATAATAAATAATCGCCCAGCAAAATAGCGATTTTACCATCTCCCGCCGGTTCCTCCGCCTTACGTTTCTCTGTAGACTTCGACTGCAGAAAAGGGTGTTCTGAATCAGATCGGATCATAATTGTAGCCAGAATGAAGAAATTCATTTTCAGTTGCTTCCCCTGCCCCCTCCTGCCAACGACCCTGCAACAGATTCCTTTCACGCTCGCACACTCTGCCTCGTTCAGTGCACGAGCAACCCCTAGCAGAGGAGATGTAGAATCTAAATGGAACAAGTACAATCTACATGTTAGATGTAGAATATACATTGTAGATGTAGATAGCAGATGTAGCAAAAAAATGTAATATGTAAAATTTTTTTTTTTATTCTAAAATTCTGAAAAATCATATGCTCAAAAATGTATATACTGACTGAGTACGGGTATAAGTAGAGTCGTGTCCCCAGAAGCGACTCGCACGTTCCTTCTCGTTTGTTCATTTTTTCCATATTTTAGGTTTGTAAACGAATTTTAGCTCCAAAGTCTCTCCATAGATTTTAATGAGCGATACCTTAAACGACGCCAAATTAATGCACCTATACACAAAAAAATAGAAGACACAGGATATAATTTTTTTTCGACTTTTCCTGAGTTTTTAAAGTCAAAATTTCGTAAAAAATACCGCACAAAAATCATAATTTTTGCATTTCAATGCTTTATATTTCCCAGACGGTAAGCTGAAATCACAAAGTGTTTGGGCTTATCTTCTAGCTGTTTCAATTATCTTTTCAAAATAGCAAAGTTCTTTACAACCAGACGTAAGATACTAGAGTTATGTGAAAAAAACAAGCGCTACCTCTGAAAAAAGCTTTAAAAAAAAATACCAGACTTCAAAAATTCTTCAAAAAAAAGTTCTGCCATAGAAAAAAAACCATAATTCTTTAAAAAATTTTAAAGCCGCATATCTATCAGAAAAAGTCGGTTTGGATCCTTGAGGAAAATAAAGTTAGATTTTGTCGAGTAGTGTTATTTTAATAACATTGAACACATTTATTTACATGTATCTTGCCATCTTTGTTTATTTCGGCAGCAACACTCTCCCAAGCACTTTTCACCGAAATGTTGTCAAAATTACTCTTTACGGTAATTCTTCACAGGCACGGTCTTGCCTCAATTGCTTAATTGCTCAAATGCCTTCTCCTCTTGCTAAAAATTAGCATTCCTCTTTTTTGTTTTTCTTTTATTTTCCAGATTTGTCTCCATTTTCACTCCAGGAAGAATTGGTGATTATATATTCCTGAACTGGGTATCAGCTGTTCTCTCAGTCCACACACGGTCCCGATAAGCAACTATCGATATAAATTTGTGGATTCCGCTCGTGTTGCTGGATACACACTCAAGGAATACGTAAACGAAACATTCCTGTCACAGTTTTTTATATGGAGTTTGACAGGAATTTTTCGATTCCGCGGTGATGGATCTTTAATGTCTAATCACGTCGGGGTCACCAAAATGTTTAGAAGAGGATACCAAATATATCACCTTGATTTACAATGAAAAGACCCTTCCGCTTAGTTTTTTCGCTCTTCGCTCAACTAGTGAGAGTGTTTTATGGCTCTCCTTATGTATTCATTCACTTGAGACACTTCGTTGAGCCAAAAGTGTCTTTTGCGAATGTATGTGTGTGTGTGTGTGTTGCGTCCGTGCCTCAATTACGATGAGCCCTATATCTTTCTCCCTTCCCCTTTCAAGGTTTGGCTTTGGCTTTCAACAAAACCTAACGCAACTACAACAAAAAGACATTTCGTACTTGCATTTGGCTCGTTTTTGTCAGTGACTGATGCTCAGTTGCTGAGCGCCGAACGAAAGTCTCTCGCTCAGACTGTTTTCGTAGAAAAACACTTGTGCTTCGTTCACCGCTCAGCACGAGACCGAAAACAACAAAAATACGTATTCTGTTCAGAGAGAGACCACGTCTGCTTAATTTTTCTCTGTCTTTTCCGCGCGCAGCCAGGACTACCTCTGACAACCGTTGCTCAAGAAGCATCGCTGACCAAAGTGAGATCTACTTCTACTGTTTTTGACGGAATTAATTTGGGCAAGTCTCCCTTCATCCCTTTATCCCATCAACAAAATCATGTTGACTACCAGGTAGCAGCATGTTTGATGCCTCCTACTGCCAAGAAAGAAATGGTATATTGAAGTCGCCTGTCAGGTTTCCCAGACTGAAATTCCCCAACAAGTTCCTAAATAATAGCCAGTGGCGCAAAATAACGTAATTCCACCTTTGTTTGCTATTTGCATTGCCCACTGCATATAAATATTGTAACCGCTTAAAATTACTCACGGCAGCGGCCGTTCTTTCGCCTCGTTATATCTCCTTCTTTATTATGCTTCTGCAGCTGCAGCATTTATGCTGTTCTCTCGAATTCTCTCTTTCTATCTATCGCTCGTACTCGGCTCAGCAGCATCCCGAGCTTCTATCGCTTCTTTCGTTCTATATCTCCCTTGCATTAGGGCACGGGCAATTCCGTCCGCCTGCCCTCTTTTAGTCTTTAATTGATCGTCATCATTATCGCACTCACGTTATATAGTCTGGTATTGATCTTCGTTACCTTCGGTCTTTATACTTGTACCAATAATATACATACGCGTACTGCCACTACTACATACCAATAAATTATTATTTGTACTAAATCTTCTCGGCCCTTTTTATTAAAATTAGGCATCAATAGCTATTAAAAACGCTTAATAGCTCAACATCGCCCATTACTATAATCTGATCAGCACAACCTGAATCAGAAACCACAGAATGAATGGCAGAAAGGTGGTTCAAATAAACAACAGCATCAGATCTAGGAGGAATATATGAAAAGTAGGCTGGGCCAAAATTTAACCAACAATTTTTTTTTCTGTTTTTTCAATTGGACACCCCCTAATTCTGTTCTTTGTTATTCAATCAAATTATACAATTTTTAGAAAACGAAAAGAAAAAAAAATTTTTGGGTAAATATACATTAAACGAGAAGGAACGTCGCTTCTGGGGACGCGACTCTACTTATTCCCGTACTCAGTCAGTATATACATTTTTGAGATTATGATTTTTTGAATTTTAGAATTAAAACAAAAAATTTACATTTTACATTTTTTTGCTACATCTGTTATCTACATCTACATCTACAATGTATATTTTACATCTAACATGTAGATGTACCATTCATATTCTACATCCCCTCCGCTAGGGGTTTTCGCGCACTGAACGCGGCAGAGTGTGCGAGCGAGAAGGAAAATGAGTTGCGTTGTTGGTGGCGGGAGGGGGCAGGGGAAGCAGCTGAAAATTAATTTCGTCATTCTGGCTTTAATTATGATCCGATCTGATTCAGATTGGGCATCTGGTAGATATGGGCATTCTCTACGATACTGCGTTTTTAGTTTTATCGTATCTTTAAAAATGTGCCTGCCACAAATTTTCATCCTTTGTTCTGCAGAAGGGGGCGGGGTGAAATTTTGAAATACACTTGTAGTAGTGAGATGTCACATGAGTCTGGAAACCAACCGTCTTGTTGTTGGTGTTGCCGGGCTTGGTTCATTTTGACTTTTGTTACAGTGCTTGTGCTCTTTACCGAGCTGGTGCTCTTATACCTTGACATTTGTTTTTTTCTATTATTTCTATTATTCTTTATTACACGATTGGATGATATTCATGGACAGTAGGGGCACTAGTACCCACGCATCTTCCCCTAACGCTTCTTCGCGAATTAATTTGCGATTAATTCATTTTCACGGCGGAGCGATTCAAAAATACGTCTGAAGCCGTTGACGGTTGCCAATCAAGTTAAATACATTTTTTTCACGCGGAAATAGTTTTTAATGTTGAATCTTTTAAACCAAAAGTCCGATATTCTTAAAGCTTGGATTTTTAAAAGCTTTCGAAAATTTTCTGTCGGATTCGTGTATTTATTTTATCCAAAGCATTCAACAAATTCATTGACTTTTGCCACCTCTGTTCAGCTGAGGCCCGAATGTGCGGCGTCAGCTTCAATCGCGTTTGGATTAAACTTTGAAAGCCTCATTGATTTTGCATTCGCTATAAGTCGCGGTTATGTCTCTCGTACCGAATCTTTGAGCAAACTGAAGAACTGCTTATTGTGACTGTTACGGCATGAACCTAAATGGCAGCGCGAAAAACCTTTGCGCCTAACAGCACCGAAACCAACATAAACCGAACAAAGGGTTAAGCCGGGCGAATAGCGTAAAAGGGGTTAAGATCGAAAGGTTAAGCAGGGCGAATGGCAGAAAACGAGCAGAGAAGAAAAGGAGAAAAAGGCGTGAAAAAAGCAGCTAAGGTTAAATGAAAAAGCGGTACAAGTTTTTTAGCTCCTCTGTATAGAAAATTCATTATCATTTATAAACTTAAATATTCATAATTATCCACCCGAAACACCTGTGAATAAAGAACATTAAACATTGAACTGAACGATCGACTACAAGAGACTTATTAAACGTACGGCCCAGATTTGGAGACATTGCCCGGCGAGGCAATATTCTAAAAAACTTAACCTGCTTTAGCGGAGTGCAAGTCGAATCATTGCGACCGATTAAAGAAGATCGGCGCCATTGATTCGACATTGCAGGTGAGATATCCTCATAGAGTTGAACAGAAAGGCTAATCTCTTACATTCGAGCGACACGAGGTTCGTGTATAACCAAACTTAAGACCACGCGGCAAAACACATCGAGTACAAATGGATGGAGTTAATGGTCAGCAGTCGAAATCTGGAGGCAGTAACCC